AATATATTTTTCCCAGCGCCTCTGTATTTCCATTTTAGTGAAAAAATATCTCTGCGGGGGGGGGGGGGGAAATTAGAAGGTAAGGGAGGTGTCAAATCAGGTACTGTATTTAGTTTGGACGCTTGTCACCGGCAAAGACTCAAGTCCTGTTTTGGAAAGTTTCCAGGTTCTCCCCGTCGAACCAAAGACGGACGAGAGGCAAAGGGTTGACCCGCCAGCTTCCAAAAGCCAGCTGTGCTGCAAACAGGCGTCTCCCTCTTGGGGACAAGGAACGTCGTGATTAAGCCTGCCGAACCCCCCGCCCCAGCCCCGTGACTTCAATATGGACATCGGGAAGCGGAAGCTACGGTCTTGTGAACGGCGCCTGTCCTTCGCGTGTTCTCGGCCGGTGCCTAACGGGAGTGTTCGTCCGCCATGGGGCAAAAGGACAACAGGTGTGAGGGGGAAAGGCGCCGCTGTGTAAGATTCCCGCCTACAATACCAGGTCTCGTCGTAGCATCCGAGGAGTGCCAACAAGGAAGGAACCCACCCGAGACTATGTTGGTGCCATTCTGCCTGCCCTGAACCCACACTATCTCAAAGTTGAGTTTTCTCCTATAGGCAGCAGCCCCCGCTAATTCTGCAACTCTGGACGCAGAAAGCTTCTCTCCCGTCCCCCGTCCCCCTCCCCATTGCAAAAGAGTTTGCTTTCGTGCTGAGCCTGACGACAACCGAGTTTGAAACCAACTTTTACTTCACCGAGTGCCTCGCCCTGCCAGCCCATCCCCTCCGACTTGGAAGTCAATGGGAATACTTTCCGAGTAAACGTGTCTAGCAACTCCAGCCTTTTCCCTGGCTTGCCGGTCGCTGCCATTCCCTCGGATCCTAAACCATTCTCACGACTTTATTTCAAGCAGTTGCAATCACTTTGCAGGTGCGCAAACACGTGCGTCTATTATACATGGGAACACACCGAGAGAGCGAAAAAATTACAAATAATTTTGAATAACAGTGTGCGTGTGTTGCAATAAGCATATTTCTTTCACGTTATATATGATATATGGAATCATGTGAATATAAATATACTAGAACTTTCCGTACCTATGTGCCTACTTACATGCTTTTTATATGTATACAAGAAACTAATAATTGTATGTCACACCGTGTGCTACATTACAGCGTGATTTCGGTGTGCACAGTTAGGTGCCAGACTAAAACTCAGGTTTCACCCGGAAGCTTACTGGAAAATGTCCAAAAATGACATCAGACTCCAGTTCCTGTTTAGGAATTATTCCGAAGCTCTGATAATCCAGCTCTTTCCCCCATTTGGCGGTCTTAAGGTAAACCATACAAACTCTGTCTGCATTACTTCTTAGGGATATTTTGCAATAAAATCTATGTAATCCCCCAAAACGAAAGGTTTTCAAACACACACACACAGAGAGAGAGAGAGAGAGAGAGAGAGAGAGAGACCAAAATCAGGTTAAAAGAAAGAAAAGGAAAAGAAGGCGCCAACTGGAATATTTCTCTTAAGGTGTAAATGCCCTTGGAGATTCTTCCAGCACATTTCCTCACTGGCTGAAGAAATCGAGGCTCTTTAAGTCCCTAAATATCTGCAATATCTCCAACCGCAGATACATAGAGTCCCGCGTACTAGGCCCAAGCAAGGGGCAGCCTCGAACCTTCGGCAGTTCAAAGTCCTTTCAAATGCGTCGTGGTACAAAAGCAGATCCACAGTCAAGGCGATATCTGGATTCCCCGAACGCTTCTCCAGGCGCGTCCCCACCCAACCTCAACAGGTCTGCCATTGGAGCGATCCGCCTGCTTGCGCAGTGACCTCTGCCAGCGTCCTGGAAGGAGGCGAAGAGGCGCCAGTCCCGAGCGAGGCAGAAAAGGCAGGCAGCCTCGTACCTGACACTGCTTAGGCTGCAAGAAAGGGCAGGGTCGCTGCCTGAAGAATGGTGGGAAGCGCTGGGGCGTATGGGGTCTGCCACAAAGCGGTCATTTAGCGCTTAAACCACTAAATCCCGGCTCTTCCGTGGTTCGAAACCCGCACCCCCCACCCCCAAGCGTGAAGTCCGGATCCACCCAACGGACCCTCTCCGGACTCGGAATCCGATGTGAAAACGGGTTTTCGTCCCACCCCACCTCTTTGCTTCAGCCTTAGACAGGTGGATGGCACTATCCTACCAACCGCACATCCAGAGAGGAGGCAAGCGACCAAGTAGCCCCGCTCCCTGGTTCCTGTCATTGCATTCAAGAAGCTCCACGGCTCTTGGCAAATACCAGACTTATTATGGGATAATCCCCGTGGGGGAAAGACACGAGGAAATCTAGAGCAAACATAAACGGACTATTTGGTCGACTGGTAAATAAGTCACCGGGTTGCCTTTTTATTCCTAGAGCTTAGCCTAAAAAAGCAACTGCCCCCCTAAACTGTTTATTTTCAATTGTACCCAATCATATTTCGCCCTGTTGCAAGACATCTCTCAATAATAATAATAATAATAATAATAATAATAATAATAATAATAATAATAATAATAATAATAATAATAATAATAATTTTTCCTTCCCCTTCTTTTCAAGCTTGCCAAATCCTAGTACTGGAGGGGTGAAATCCTAGTACTGGAAGGGTGCAGTGGAGAAGGGAGGGAGGAATCCAGCTAATGAAGTCTGCAACTAAATGGTAATTGAATCGGCATAATTTGCGCACGGAATGGTTTTCAAATGCTCCCCGTTTACAATTAAAGGATAATTTATGCGCTTGTTTTCAGGTTGCCGCCTATCGGAATAAATCCCGCGCCGTTGTTGTGGCCATGAATGGAGAAGAGTTTTAAGAGCCACCAAAGCCAGGCTGGGCGAGTCGGGGAGAGAAAAAGGCTCAGGCAGTTGATATTGATCTTTGCGCCTGCAAGGAGAGAGGCGGCGTGTTTTCTTGTCATCACCCTTTAAAAAAAAAGTAGACAGAAATGCAAGGGCGCCACCCACAAGCAGACTCAAAAGTGGGGGGGAGGGGGGAGCAAACGACCCTTTCAAGTAGTCGCCAAGCTTGCCCGGGTCGCTGTCCCTAAACCGCATCATCCTAGCGATGGTTGCCATTGTCGTGCGGATCTTTGAAAACTCACGGTCGCTTTCTCCCCCTGGTTTTCTTCCCCCTCTTCTTGTGGGGCCCCAGGTTCCGCCTCGTAAAAAAAAAAAGGAGAACTGGAAGTCAAGAAAAATCGATTTTTTTCCTGGAAATCAAGCAAATCAATTTTTTTCCTGGCCTTTTTCTTTGAAAAAAAGAAAAGAAATATCCTTTCTCCCCGAGTTTTTTAGGACTTCTGAACGGGGGCTCTCGTCCGTTCGTCGCGGAAGGTTGGACGAGCAGGTGGCGGCATCCGAGAGCGCTCGTTCCCATCTGGAAGGGCTGCCCCTCTCTGTTCACCTGCTCACCCCCAAGGTGTCCGGAGCGGTATTGAGACTGGCTGTCGCTCAGCGCCCTCAAGCGGCCAAGCTCTGCCATGGCGGGCCAAACAACGGCGCAAAGCAAGCGAGCTCCTCGGTTTTTGCGCTGGGACGTGGGGTCGCGATCAGACTTCCGTTCAAGCCACCGCGAGGGTTCTTGGTGGTTCCTCACATTGCCCCGTCCGGCCTAATCCTAGACGACTCGCCTTCCCAGTCTACTATTGGTCCCCTTGCTCGGAAAGCAAGTGACGAGTGGCTCTCTGGTTTGGATCCTTTCGAACGAGTCGGATCCGCGGGATCAGGGATGATTCGGTCGTGTGTTGGCTTCCCTCCCCTCGGGTAATCTTAAAGGGGATTCTCCACAGGACTTAATTCAGTGACACTTAAGAGGGGTGGGAAAAAGACGGGAAGGCTAAATTGGTGAAGACACCAGGATGCTGAAAACTCTGCATATTGTTCTGTTACGGGGCCGCCGTCATTGCCCCAGAGGTTTCGTCTGAAGGGCGGGAGAGCGATTTCCCTGGCCTTCTGAAGGACCGCCAGCACTTCCTGGAGTAACAACCTAAGATCTCCCCTCAGAGCGTTAAAGACACTCGGGGACAGAGCACTGACAGACACCCGTGACCAGAAGGAAGCGCCTGGACAGCGGGAGGCGAAGCAGACCAAGACAGGAAGCACCGGCTCTTTCTTTATTTAAAGAGACTTTACCGGAGAATCATATGGGGGGGGGGAGGAAGAGTTGGGATTTCCAACGGCCTCAGACTAAAATCTCGGGAAGTTTGACAGGCCGTGTTTTGAAGGTCCCTCTTGCATTCACACGTCTATCATACACGGGTTGAGCCCTTGGGTCCCGATGGCCGCCTTGTAAAGGGAAGTTTGACAGGCAGATCGGGTTTTGAAGGTCCCTTTTGCATTCACACGTCTATCATACACGGATTGCGCCCTTGGGTCCCGATGGCCGCCTTGTAAACTGAACAGGACTGGGAGGCAACTCCTGTTCCTCTCCTGCTCTCCTCTTCCACCCACCCAGGCGCTCTCCAAAAGGGACCGGAACCACAGTTCTCATCACGCCCAACCAGTGGAAACTGGTGTGCCCAACGCAGGGGGAAAGCGCCCAGCTAGAATCACGCCGCCGATAAGCATCTGGAAGCAAAGTTTTTCCCGTCACTCGTTCCTCAACCCCGCCAGCCGTGCGGTGGAAGTTTTGCGCCTTTCATTGCCTCTCCTCTCCCATCTAACTTCCGGACAGACACGGAAAAGTCGCCGACCAATAAGTAACGCTCCACAAACGTCTCTCCAAGACAGGGCCACACCGTCGTCCCCCCCACCGCCCCCGCCAACATCCCAGGCCGAGGAAAGAGAAACCAACGAAGGTTGAAAGCCGGACTACAAAGCCCTTGGGCATTCTGGAAACTGGGGCTGCGCTTCTTTCTCCTCTGCCTGCCTGCCTGCCTGCTTACCTCGAGGTAGCGCCTTTCGGATGCGTGCTGGGGCTACGGCCAACGCCGCGGATCCGAGGATCGAGGCCTTTGCTATGGGGGGTGCAGTGGGGCCGGCATCTGAAAACTTACCAGGTAGAGGGCAGGCTGCAAGAGAAGCACGGCGTACCAATAGACGGGCTGCATCCTCGCCGGCTCAAACTTCCGCCTCTTCGCCTCGGCTCGCTCCCGGTTCCTCCAGGAACATAGATCCACCTGGCAGCCACTTTAGAGGACCAGGAGAGCTCCCGCTGCCAGCCTAGACGGAGAGGAAATTATAGATTCCATGACCACATGAGGAAGGGTAGAGCCCCCGAGGCAAGTGGGGAGGAAGTTGGCGGGGTACACACGCAGAGAGGGGGGGAGAGAAAGAGGGAGAGCGAGCGAGACACGCACACGCCGGCACACGCACGCACATACATCCACCGACGAGGGAGAGGGCCGCCAGGGGAGCAAATCGGGACTCCGGGTTGAGTTCATCGAGCAGAGGGCGGGGAGAAGGGGGTTCACTTGGGTCAAGCCGTCTCTCGCTGCGGAGTGACTCCGGAGCCAGGGAGGGGCTTGACCGGGTGGGCTCTTTTCTGGGAGGTGGGGGGCGGGTGTCCAGCGCCGGCTATTTGCTCTCAGGAAAGACGGGGACGGGAGGTGGCTACTAGGTCGCCGCCTCCACCCCTGGATTCTCCGCCTCGGACAGAGTAAAGAAGCCACGCGCGCCCGCGCACACGCGCGCGGGCGCGCACATACACACGCGCACGTGCACCCGGGCAGCACAGAAAGTGTAGAAAGGAGGGGGAGCCGAGTAGAGGGGAGGGTCAGCCCAGGATCTTCAGGGAGCAGGTTTGAGATCAAGGATCAAGCTCGGGGTAAAGTGTTCTTCCACCCAGCTGTGGGCACAGGAGAGGGGCAAAGAGTATACACTCACGCGTATGCACACACACACACACACACACACACACACACACGGATCGTCGGGCCGATCCACCGCCCACTCCGGCGCTCGGAACTCGTGCCTGGGTCGCCACCTGCCCGCTCCACACCGTTGCAACCCTATACTGTACCAGACACACTTCGGGTCGCCTCTTCCCTCCCCCACCCCCACCCCCTTCAGCCCGACCCAAAGCCTTCCTGCACCCAGAAGAGGAGGCTGGAGGGAGGCGGGGTACCTACTGCGTCCAGGGTCCGAAAGCCAGCGCGGCTCCCCGGCTGGAGTCCATCGGCTGCCCAACCGCCACGGCGACCACCATCGATC